TAAATTACACATTTTTGAAACAATGAATCGGTCAATGTTAGACCAACACCATTAGAAACCTGGAAGCACTGAAGGATGGCCGTTTCGTCCTAGTATGGGACTCATCAGTGGCAGTGTTCATCCACGACTCCCGCACCCCACAGGATTCGAACCCAGGACCTTCGGTATTGTAGGCGAACGCCTAACCATCGGATCACTGGACCGGTATCTAACGGTGTTAATGTCTAACTTGATCAGTTCACGGAGTTGCGCAACCTCATACACAGTCTTCAGTAGTTGCTATCTACACTCGAACAGTTTGAACTTCATTGGTCACAACTTCCCACTAGAACTCCGAGAAGATTCCCCACGGAGCTAGTCACTAGTGAGCACATGTAATTTGCATTACGGTGTTGTGAATATTGTTAAGTTACGCATTTTTCAAACCATGAATCGATCATTCTAGACATTAACACCGTTAGATACCGGTTCAGTGGTCCAGAGGTTAGGCGTTCACGCACAATACCGAAGGTTCTGGGTTCGAATCCCGCCAGGTGCAGGAATCGTGGATGCGCACTGCTACTGATAAGTCCCATACCAGGATGAAACGGCCGTCTTTCAGTGCTCCCAGGTTTCTGCTAATGGTGGTTTAACAATGATTGATTGATGATTTCAAATGTGTAAAAAAACACAAAACCTCCAAAACTCTGCACGAAAATAATCAATATTTACTGTCACACTAGTCTTTGAACGTATGAAACACTATGACCGAGACAAAAATTAAAGTACAAATGAATGACTATCCAAAGTGCTTCTTTTGTTTACAATTAACCGACAGCATACAAAGGTCCCTATTCATTATCAAATTATTTTCTGTGGACTAAAATCTTTCACATTGTTTCGCAAATATTATCAATTGTGTTGTTTTGTGTTTAAGTCATGAGATGATTACTGTAAGGCTTTGTTTGTCAAAATCTCTCCATATATACACATTTGTAATTTTTTCTTATTGAGATTCCTTCATTTGTACATTTTGTTAATCTGTTCAATTCCATTTCGAAGATGATAATATTTGTATTTTTGATTATAGTTTCTATTTCTTTTGTGCCTTCAATTAAGTTTCTATGTTTCTTTGTGAACTGCATTTATTATGTTGTTTAAGTTGATACTTAGTCATGGTGACAGCCATATTGATTTGTTCCTCGTTTGATTGGATTGCTTGTTTTGACTGGAAGTGTGCATTTGTACACTCTCACAGAATAAGAAACATTCTGTGCAATAAAGCAACCAAATATTACCTTTCTAACGAATCTGATCTATCCAGGGAGGATAGAATAACATTTATTTGTTGCTGTTGATTTGAATAATTGAAAAAATTGTTGGTAGAATAACTAAGTGGTAATATTTGTTTAGGTGATGATGTACATTTATATTTATGATAAATATTAGAACCGTTATTTACCCAAATCACTTGTTTTGGTTTGCAGGTGCGTATCTAACCTACCCAGACAGTTATTCCTCAATCCAAACCTCACTTTAGATCCTACACAATCTACAAGTCATACATGGAGAAAAGTATTAAAAACTATCTTACTCACTCCCGTTAGCCGTAGTGAACTGTTTTTTTATCCTGGTTAGTGTTGTTTCTAGCGAGTTGGATTTCTATGGGATAGGGTCGATAACCCTGTTTCAGCCAACTAGAATGAAATACTGCGAGCGATGCAAAAGAAGTCTAAACGTTCAAAAAAGTGACCTTGATAGAATAGGTTAACTGATTTTGAAGAGGATTGTATATCAGAACAAAACATTATAGTCACTTGAGCAAAAATCTATTTGGTTATATTAATCCGTAGGGTTGGTACAAGTTAGTCAGTCAGTTGGAACGTAGAACTTCGTAAGTATGTACATCAGTTCATGTTGCCATACCACATTAGCACAGAGATGCAACTGTCACTTGAAATCCCATAGTGATAAAGATAGTAGAGGTATTAATGGTAATGAAGAAGACTAGAGTTTGAAGATATTATTCATGAAGTATAGTTCAGTGAGATAAGGTTAGAAAGACAAAGGTAGAGGTGCTGACGAAACCAGAAGATTAGCATTTGAGAGAGCTCAACGAATGGATGCACTTGAGCCATTGCAAACGGTTTTCAGCCATGTCAATCAAGGTCTCTAACCATTGGTGAATTTCGTCTCGCGGATCCCAAACCAGGTAGCCTACATCTACCAACATGACTCAATCCTCTTGTCAGTGACTCCATGGATTAGTGCCATGTTTTGGTTTGGCCGACCCTAACTTTCTTCCGACCTACTCCTACACAACAAAACATAGCTCTTCGAGACAGTCAGCGGTTAGCCATACGTACCGCATGTCGCAACCACCTCAACTGATGAAGTTTCACCACTTCATCTACTGATCTGCCATCCTTACCTAGTACTCGTTTCCTAACAACAGCATTGATTACTCGGTTGTCCCACGATATACGAGCAATGCTTCTTAAACATCTGTGATCGAATAGTAGTAACCTACGAACATCTTCTACCCTTAACGTCCATGTTTCCCATCCATATAAGAGAACGGAGCGAAATTCTGCGCAGTACACCGGTCCTTTGGTCAGAGAACGGGTATCTGGCCTACCCCATAAACAATGTAAATTGGCAAAATCAAATCGACCTTTCTGTATCCGAGCTGAGATTTCGTCAGTCACCAGGCTATCAGCGCTGATGAGACTCCTCAGATAAGTGAATTGATCAACACACTCGACTACTTCACTACCTATCACTAGTTCAGGTGTGCCGATGCAACCCAATCTTGAAGCAACATACATAACACATGTGCCAACCACCTCAAGTTACCACCACTACATGTCACCTTGTAGTTTATCTGTTAAGCTGTCTACATCAGAATGGTGGATTAATTGATTTTTTGTGAGCACGTTCACATAAAACCTTTTCTATTATTCAGATGACACTCTACACATGGATTGATGGTACCTTGCAGACACTGTGTATAGAAATTTGTTTTCATCTTAATAAATTTGAAACTTTTAATGTTTTGCTGCACAGTAAATGGTGGTCTAACACTGATCGATTCATTGTTTCAAAAATGTATAACTTAACAATCTTCACAACAAACACGTAATGCAAATTACCTGTGCTCACTAGTGACTAGCTTCGTGAGGAATCTTCTCCGAGTTCTAGTGAGTGGGAAGACGTGACCAATGAAGTTCAACCTGTTCGAGTGTAGAGAGTAACTATAGAAGACTGCGTATGAGGTTGCGCAACTCTGTGAATTGATCAAGTTAGACATTAACAACATCGTTAGATACCGTCTCAGTGGTCCGAAGGTTAGGCGTTCGCCTACAATACTGAAGGTCCTGAGTTCGAATCCTGTGGGGTGCACTAGTCGTGGATGCGCACTGCCACTGATGAGTCCTATAACAGGACGAAACGGATGTCTTCCAATGCTTCCAGGTTTCTGCTAATGGTGGTCTAACATTGATTGATTCATGGTTTCAAAAATGCTTAACTTAACAATCTTCACAACCCCATAATGCACAATAAATAATTATCTATCCAAATGTACTTTATCAGTTTCAATGCCCCAGAATTCCAACACAATCAGCAATACACATGTTTACTTTGTGTGAACCGGTTCATAGGTGAAATAATGTATTCATTCTGGTTTATTGATTGATCTGTTTATAAAAAAAAAGTAATTGTTTTCTCACATGGATTGATTATATTTATCAGGAAAAAAAATAATTAGAGTTTAAGATTGAAAATAGAACCAAAAATTTTTAGTAACATCTCAAATATAAGGTGTTTGTTTGCGATATATATGTATATATATATATATATATATATATATATATATATATATATATATATATATATATGTGTGTATATCTCGTTTCAGTGTTTCAATACGTAAATGTTGGAGTCTTTGCTATGTGTGTTGAAGTGGTAACTTTACCAGTACATTGAAATGTTTAAGTTGTCTTACTTCTAAACATGATAGTGTTTCTAAAATTATTTCATTTACATTTTTCTTTAAACCTAATCACTGGGATTTACAAAGTTAACTTGCGCCAGTCGCGCGAGTGCTTAACCTTTGGAACACTGGGCCGGCAGCATCCAACGGTGTAAATGTCTAACTCTGATCAATCTACTGATTTTGCTTCGATCATCAGTGTCTCTGAAGCATCGTTCGTCTCGTTAGGAAACGAGTACTAGGTAGGAATGGCAAATCAATAGATGAAGTAGTGAAACTTCATCATTTGAGGTGGTTGGGACATGTGTTACGTATGCCTAACCACCGACTGCCTCGACGAGCTATGTTTTGTGGTGTAGGAGTAGGTTGGAAGAAAGTTAGGGGCGGCCAGACCAAAACATGGCAGAAATCAATGAAGTCACTGAGAAGTGGACTAAATCATGTTGGTAGATGTAGACTACCTGGTTGGGGTCCGCGAGACGAAATTCACCAATGGTTAGAGACTTTGAACGACATGGCTCAAAATCGTTTGCAAATGCGTATGTGCATCCACTCTCTCAAATCCTAAACTTCTGAATTACTCATCATCTCTGTCTTTCTCTTTCTAAGTTCATCTCACTGAATTATACTTCTCGAATCATATCTTCGCTCCCTAATCTTCTACATTAATGCTAATACTTCTACTATCGCTATCACTCTTGGATTTGAACTGACAGTTGCATCTCTGTGCTAATGTGTTATGGCAACCTGAACTGATGTACATACGTACAAAGTTCTACGTTGTATCTGCCTGTCTGCACGACCTCATTCATTTGTCTTTGATAGTTACTGCCTACACCAGACAAGGCTGAACTTCACTAGTCAAGTCTTTTCACTAGAACTCCGAGAATTTCCTCTAAAATCTAATCACTATTGAGCACATTTCACGATTGTTGCTAATCATTCCCATACCACCAGGACAAAACGGCTGTCCAATACTTTACTTTATAACTTAACTAATTTTCAAAATCGATCAATAAAGCTTTAGTTTTAGTTTTACATTATTCTTGTGATATAAACAAATGTTTAACATTTTGCATAACAATGATTTTACAAATGGAATTTGTAATTACATTACAAATATCATGAAACAAGACAAACAAAATCATGACTTGTTTCAATTGATCAAGTTCAATGGTTATTGAATAACAATTAAAACAAATCAACAATTATTCATTTTTTAAAAATAGTCCAGCTTATTTTTGTTATATCTTTTCAAAATTGATTTCACTCGAAACATCATTATACCAGATGGATTAATTGGGATCATAAATTTCTCAGTTAATGTAATACCTTTGACAATATCACCAGTGAATACATCGGTTAATTCAAATGTATCACCAGAGATTTTATATGTTGCTGAATGAAATTGTTCAAGACTTATATCTAAATGTATTGGTCCTCCACCATCAGTTGTATAGAAACAAGCAATTGCCCAACCCATTGGATTTCCATCTAATTGTCTTATCCATAGCTATGCAAAGAGGGAAACATATAAATAGTTAGAAATGTATTGTTTAAGTCATTGAGTTCAATGTACAATATGACCGATCATACAATGAAATGATGACTATGTATTCACTACGTATGAAAAAATAAATCACAGAACTATTGTCGTTTTATAGAAGTCATGAATAGAATGACCATTAGATTGCCATTCGAAATCTTGGAAGAACGTTTTAGTATACGTTCTCTCTCAACTATGCATCTCTACATGATCCTTAATAAGCGGTCATTACCTAGTGGACTCTTTGGTCTCATAAACGAATGATTACTCTCTGGACCATTGAGCAACTCGCCAATGGTGTGTTTTAATGAATAAACTTCAATCAGTCCAATATATTGTGAGATAAGTGCATCTCACTCGAATTCCTACTAAAAATCCAGGGATTTTCTCTTTAACTAGTCACTAGTATGTACATTTCAATTTCATTTAGTATTACCGAAGAAAATGGTAGTGAAATATTTTAGACTGACTGAAATGAGACATTAACAATGTTAATGGTCGACTTATTGGTCTAGAGGTCAAGTGCTGGAACTTGAGATCGAAGCTTCTGGGTTCGACTCCCACACACGATAGAGCGGCAGTCCTACGCTATTCCGATTTTATGAAGGTTGTATGTAGTGTAACATTCATAAAATTAATGATTTCAACATACTCACTTGTGTATGATTTTTTGTTGTGATATACTCCGCTTGATGTCCTCCTTTATCTTGATTGATCGCCAACAAACGTGGATTGCGTAACAACGATGCACTAAACGCATCCAACTTATCCATATCCGTTGAAATGATCAGTGGAGCAGCAAACATACACCACATACCCATTTGTACACGTTGTTGATCAATGGACAAACCAAAATTGCCCAATAATAACATATCTGGATCATTCCAATGTCCTGGACCAGCTACTTTTGGTAATATATCATTACGAAGTTTATAAGCATTGATTATACTGACTACAGATGACCAACTATCTTGTATATCACCTAACATACGCCATAAATTACAATTTTGTTGTAATCTCTCCCAATTAATTAAATTCGAATTATTTATCCATGGTAAATAAGCAGGATAACTACATGAAAATACTATTGGTCTACCAGTTGCATTCATTAATTTCGCAAATATTTCATAACCATCAGGCATAATCTCTTCAGAACTATTACAACCATCCATTTTTACATAGTCAGCTTCCCATTGGGCTAAACTGTTTGCATCTACATTTAAATAATTCATACTTCCAGGATAATTTTCACATGTTTTAAGTCCATAATCAAGATATATACCGAATAGTAGATTTTTAGAATGTAAATATTTACTGATACTTTTAATACCCTATAAAAATTGATAACAATAACATTATACTAGCTAAGAAATCAGTTAATGATAGAGATTGAAATTCAAAATGACACTCAGATAAGTATGTGTGTGTGTGCCACTTGTCTGTAGCACTGGAAGTGGTTGCATGTCAAAAATTGAAGTCAGTCAGATAGTCCGTTAAAACTTAGAACTTTGTACATAAGTACATCAATTCAAGTTGTCATACCACATTAGCACACATAGACGCAGTAATGGAGAAGATTAGGGAGTGAAGATATTATTCAAGAGAAAGATAGTGATAATGAGGAATTCATAAGGTTAGGATTTGAGAGAACACAAAGAGTGGATGCACCTGCGCCATTGCAAACGATTTTGAGCCATGTCATTCAAAGTCTCTCGAACCTCGACCAGGTATCCTACATCTACCAACATGACTCAATGCATTTGTCAATGACTTTATGGATTTGTGCTATGTTTTGTTCTGGTCACCCCTAAATTTCTTCCAACCTACTCCTAAAGCAGAAAACATAGCTCGTCGAGGCACTCTGTTGTTGGGCATATGTAACACATGTCGCAACCACCTTAACTGATGTAGTTTCACCACTTCATCTATTGATTTGCCATCCTTATCTAGTACTCGTTTCCTAACGACAGCATTGCTTACTCGGTTGTCCCAGGATACATGAACAATGCTTCTAAGACACATCTAAGATCGCATACTATTAACCTACGAGTATCTTCTATTCATACCGGTCAAAGTTGAGGTCCACTGCAGATGCACAGAGGGCTATCTAAAGTTTCAGTTATTCGATACTGTGTTCGATTCCCAGAGTAAATATCCACCTTACGGTGCAGATACTTCTAGCTATAGACAAGTAATCCCAAATAGGACGAAACGCCAGTGTTGCATTTCACTATGTTTACCAAAATATATTGATTTATGTTAAAATAACTAACAGGATAGTATTAATTTATATTATTAAAATTGAAAGTAATCAGTCATCTATTGGCTACTAGGAATTCATAATAGGATCACATAACAGTGATGATTATTGAACAGTGAACCATTGACGTTACATTTTCATTGTTTCAAACTAGGAAGCATTGACTCTTGATCTGATTAACATGCCGGTGATAGCTTGTCGAATTGTTTTGAATAGGGTTAGCGATTTATTGATAAGAGTTGACACACACACATACCACGATCACATTAAATATATATATTCAGATTTCTATGACTAATCTTTAAGAATTAACGAATTCTCTGAGTTGACCAATGTGTTACTATAATCTACACTTAAACAAAACATTTGACTGTATTACAATTTTTACTTGAAACCGTGAATCGATCAATGTTAGACCACCATTAGCAGAAACCAGGAAACACTGGAAGACGGCCGTTTCGTCCTGATGTGGGACTTATCAGTGGCGGTGCGCATCCACGAATCGTGCACCCCACAGGATTCGAACCCAGGACCTTCAGTATTAGAGGCGAACGCCTAACCATCGGACCACTGAGCCGGTATCTGATGGCGTTGTTAATGTCGAACTTGATCAATTCATCGAGTTGCGCAACCTTATACACAGTCTTCGGTAGTAGTTACTTTCTACACTCGAACAGGTTGAACTTCATTGGTCACGTCTTCCCACTAGAATTGGGATAAGATTCCTCACGAAGCTAGTCACTACTAGTGAGCACAGGTAATTTGCATTACGGGGTTGTTGTGAAGATTGTTAAGTTATACATTTTTGAAACCATGAATCGATCAATGTTAGTCGTGGATGCGCACTGCCACTGATGAGTAGTCCCATACCATTACGAAACGGCCGTCTTCCAGTGCTTCCAGGTTTCTGCTAATGGTGGTCTAACATCGATCGATCGATTCATGATTTCAAATTAAAACTTAACAATCTTCACAACAACAATTAGAAAAATTAAAACCAAAATAAAAAACTCTTCTTACATTAGGAAATCGTATCCGATCTGCAATTATTTCATTTGTCTGTGTATCACGTTGCCGTTCAGGCCAACAATCATCAATAATAACATAACGATAGCCTAAATCTCTCCAACCATCCATGGCTAGTTTATCAGCTGTACGTTTAATCAGCTGTTCGTTGATACAATCATTTGGATAACGTTCACAATCAATTTGACAACGAAATCGTTGCCATGTCATCCAACCCATTGGTGGTGTAATAGCCAGTCCATTGTTTAAACATAACACAGGTGTGAAACAAGTCAACGTGATGATCAATTCCAGAATTATTGTGACAATGTTGAAAATCCTATAAAATAAGTAATAAAATATGATCATTTAATAAAATAATGAATTGGAGATGTGAAGGATACTTATCAGATACAAATACAGTAAGTCAGTCAGTCAGATGCAATGTAGAACTTCGTACGTACATAAGTACATACGATGTTCATGTTGCCATACCACAATATTAGCAAACAGAGATATAATTGTCAATTCAAATCCAATAGTAGTAGAAGAGGTAGTAAAAGGTATTAGAAGTAATCGGAGATGTAAGGATTAGAATATATTATTATTCAAGAACCATGATTCAATGAGAAAAGTTTAGAAAGTCAAAACTACAGGGGGTGTTGAAGAATCCAGAAGATTAGGATTTGAGAGAACATAAAGAATAAATGCACCGGCGCCATTGCGAACAATTTTGAGCCATGTCATTCAAGGTCTCTAACCATCGTCGATTATTATCATCTCTCGGAACCCAATCAGGCAGTCGACAACTACTGAGATGACTCAGTCCACTCGTCAATGACTTCATGGATTTCTGCCATGTTTTGGTTTGGCCGCCCCTAACTTTCTTCCAACCTACTCCTACACTACAAAACAAAGTCGGTGATTAGGCATACGCAGCACAAGTCCAAATCACCTCAACTGATGAAGTTTCATTACTTCATCTATTGATCTGCCATTCTTACCTAGCACCAGTTTCCTAATAACAGCGTTGCTCACTCGTGTGTCCCATGATATACGAGCAATGCTTCGAAACATAAATACAGTAAATAATTTCAGTTCGAAATATCAAAATTCTTCGGATTCGTTGGTCAGACATCATCAGCAACAATCAACTGTGGGAAACGACAAACCAGATTCCAGTGAAGGAAGAAATAAGAAAGAAGCGTTGGGAGTGGGTGGGATACACATGGTAGAAAGTCACAAGACAAACACTCGGTTGGAATCCTCAAGGTCAAAGGCGAAGAGGAAGGTAAGTAAGTAAGCAAGTAAGTAAGTAAGTCAGTAATATTGAATCTCGTAACAGGTATCAAGTACTATTGTTTAAATCATATGGTATCATTGAGATTACCAATATTCAACACGAAAGAACATTTTCAAATGACTCCATTGATTTCAGGTCAACAAGCATCAAGTGTCGTATATCGATAACCTAAATCTATCTCTTTAACCTTCACAACACTTAGTTCAACTACTACTACTACTACTGCTACTTACTCTGTTGTAACAATTAACCGACTAAGGTAACCAAAAATAAATTAACGACTAGAATAATTAATGATATAGACATCTGTATTAAATCTTGTCAATATGAAATCGATCGATCAGTCGATCGATCGATAAATTTCGATGAAATCGAAATCGCCTAAGGATGCGTTTCAACGAATCGACTTTAGCAAATAAATCAGTGTCTATAACAAACGGATATTGAAATTTATTTGTGTTCTAATATCATAATTAATTACTAATCCCAATAATAATTCATCACTGTGTTACACAAGTTCTCGTAAAATGATTTACATGATGGACTGTGTGTGTTTGTGTGGTTACAGTTGAATAAATTATAGACAGACAGACAGACAGACAGATACAACGCAGAACTTCGTACGCAAGTACATCTTCAGTTCAAGTAGCCATACCACATCAGCACACAGACGCAACTGTCAGTTCAAATCCAAGAGTGGTAACAATAATATAAGTATTAGCAGTAATGGAGAAGATTAGGGAGTGAAGATATGATATGATCCGAGAAGTATAATTCAGTAAGATAAATTTAGAAGGAGAAAGGTGGAGATTATGAAGAATGCAGAAGGTTAGAATTAGAGAGAACACAAAGAGCGGATGCACGTGCGCCATTGCAAACGATTTTGAGCCATGTCATTCAAGGTCTCTAACCATTGGTGACTATCGTCTCTCGGACCCCAACCAGGCAACCTACATCCACCAACATGATTCAGTCCACTTGTCAGTGACTTCATGAATTCGTGCCATGTTTTGGTCTGGCCACCCCTAGCTTTCTTTCAACCTACTCCTACACTACAAAACAAAGCTCGTAGAGGCAGTCGGCGGTTAGGCATACGTAACACATGTCCCAACCACCTCAACTGATAGCATTCATAGAAGTATTGGCAGTAATGGACAAGATTATGGAGTGAAGATATGATATGATTCGAGAAGTATAACTCAGTAAAATAAATTTAGGAGGAGAAAGGTAGAGATTCGCAATTGTTGGATGTTGGCGTCAGTGTCAATCTAATGTCTACTACTTAACGTACTTGAAATTTTCATCTGATTTAAGCAAATATTATTGATAGATGGATATATTCAATACAATTGAAGGGAATCATTTCAAAATCATTTTTAACCTTTTTTCGTAGTTAGTAGTAACATACTCTACGTTCAAATATAGTCTATAAACTTTGTCATTTAGAATCGAAATAAAATTACACCAGTATGAAGCCACAATCCAAAATGTATTCAGAAATATCTCAGTCAGTCAGTCATCAGTCAGATGCAACGTAGAACTTCGTACGTACGTAAGTACATCAGTTCATGTTGCCATACCACATCAGCACAGAGATATAATTGTCAATTCAAATCCAATAGTAATAGAAGAGGTAGAGTAAAGGTATTAGAAGTAATCGGAGAGGTTAGGATTAGAAGATATTATTATTCAAGAAGTATGATTCAGTGAGAAAAGTTTAGAAAGACAAAAACTAGAGGGGTTGAAGAATCCATAAATATCTATGTCAAACTCAATAATCCTAACAAATTTATTGTTAGTAAAATCGACTGATTCAATGGAAACTAGTTGAAATAAACACATGGAAATTGAATTTTGAATTCAATTCAGATTTCTGTAATTTTGTTATGATTTTCTAACTTCCCTATTGAACAGTCATTCTATTCTGTTACATGAGCTCTAAAAACAGTCAACAGCCTATTATTATTCACATTTAAGGGATGAGAATTATCAGACAAAGATTCAACTAACTGATATCATCACCTAAAGCTGGCATATACTCTGTGAACCTTATTTCAGGTGGAATGTAACTAGCTAACTAAGGGGAAAAAATCAACAAAAAAACTTTTCAACTATTTCTATTTCCGAGCAGAGTTTTGTGTTTTTACACATTTGAAATCATCCACCAATCATTGTTAGACACCGCCATTAGCCGAAACCTGGAAGCACTGAAAGACGGCCCCATTTCGTCCTGGTATGTGGGACTCATCAGTGTGTCAGTGCACATCCACGACTCCTGCACCTCGCAGGATTCGAACCCAGGACCTTCGGTATTGTGCGTTGAACGCCTAACCATCGTACCACTGAGCTAACCGGCATCCAACAGTGTTAATGTCTAACTCTGATTGATCAAGGGATTTTGCGCGATCTCACCCATTTGTCTTGGCAGTTACTGCCTACATCCGACAGAGGGTTGAACTCCATTGGTCACGTCTTCTCATTACTAGAACTCCGAGAATTTCCTCACGAAGCTAGTCACTAATGAGCACTGTTACGACCTTTTCGGTCAACAGTTTTTTGGAGATTTGTGTCTTCTTACACATTTGAAATCATCAATCAATCAATCAATCAATCAATCATTGTTGTTAGACACCGCTATTAGCAGAAACCTCGAAGCACTGAAAGACGGCCCTGTTTCGTCCTGATATGTGGGACTCATCAGTGTGGCAGTGAACATCCATGTAAATAATGTCTCATGAAAACAGTTACATTTTGACAACTTATAGATTTGTTAAATACACACAAGAAAGAAAATACTATTATAATTATACTTACATATTAATTGGCATAGGTCAGTTAATTCAATTGGAAACATACATGTATATATATATATATATATATATATATATATAAG